TTTATTCTTTTTATTTTTTAAGGTACACTTCACATCTTCACAGCATGGAGCCCAATGTGGAGGGCCTGAACTCATGACCCTGAGATCAAGACCTGAGCTGAGATCAGGAGTCGGATGCTTAACCCGCTGAGCCACTCAGATACTCCAAGATTGAGAGATTTTATATAACTTCTAGAGGTAAAGGAGACACAACAGAACCAGGATAAATGGGTGTGCCAACTATTGAAGGGGCTAACAGTTGCAAAACATGAAGGCATTAGAGCAGAGGTGTTCAGGAACCAGCAACTGGAATTCTCCAAAACCACCATATAAATTGAATAGAGGAAAGAGATGATGTAATAGGATACTAAGGTGCTCACTAAGACAAGGACATATCAGGTGGTCCTGGTCTCAGGGGAGGACCTGGCAGAGAAGTTGGTCCTGTGAATATGCGTCTGTATAGGTTGGACATCATGGAGCTTCTGGAGAAGTTTGTAAAGTCACAAATGTGCAACATCCAGAGAGATAACAATTCTGCATGGAATAACTGTGATTTTCTTACCAACCATTCCAGAACAATATGCCAGATCCTTTTGCTTTTGGGATATTTTTTGCTGCCCCATTTGCCAGAAACATACATAGGAATTATGATACTTACAAGCATTTGTATAGTCCAGAATAGGGTAACCAAAGAGCCAACGCACTTGGGACCTTACACTTTAAGCTCTGTTTGCTCTGAGTTCCTGGGGCTGATTGTGATGGCCTGGAAGACACTCAATAGGCCAATGGTGCCAATGGACACACCTCTGGCAACCCTGAATACTGAGAGAGTTTACATTCAAAATTACTAAAAAAAAAAAAAAAAAGCTTTAATCCAAAAGCTTCCAGTGTATGAAGGACTCATTTAGAGACAATAAACAAGGAGTTGGCTAAAATCAGGTGCTTGAGAATCAGATCTCTAGACCTTAACATACACCCAAGGAAGCAAAGGTAGTGGTAAATAAGAAAGAAATTCTCCAGGGTTCCAACTAAAGTCTGTGATAAGAAGATCATCTCTATTGCCAAATTCCTGGTGGCCATTCTATCATTTCCCACTAAATAATATTCATATTCAGAGTCCTTCATGGAACCAAGAGGTTTGGGTTATTATTATCATGGCAACTGAAATCCTATGTTCTCCACCTACAATTTTTTTCCAAGATATATCTCCTGTCCTTGTAAGATTGTCTAGGTTTGTACATCTTACTCAAGGAGAACCCCTTTTCCACATGTGAACACTTAATTACCTGGATTCTTGATAAGCCTCCTTCCCATACAGAATATCACTCAGACTGAAATAGAAAGTACAGTAAAACCTTGGATTGCATGTAACTTGGTCTTCGAGTGTTCTACAAGACAAGCAAACATTTCTAACAAATTTTAACTTGATAAATGCGTGATTCTTGCAATACAAGTAGTACGTGATGCCGAATGTGACATGATCACAACTGAGCCAATGTTACCTAAATTTGTTTTCATATATAAGTGCTTTGGATTACAAGCCTATTTCTAGAGCGAATTATGCTCGAAAACCAAGGTTTTACTGTACTCACCTGATTCTTTCCTGATGATATGGACACCTCTGCCAGGATTACTCACAGGAGATATTCAGTTTAAGTGTGATGGCAGAACCAGCTATAAATTAAATTTAAGACACTTGCAATGGTTTAGAGTGCTGTACCAGGATGGAGGTATTTGCTTCTGGAGGGAAGCCCTAAGGGCAGAGATTCGGAAAGACAAAATATCATCAACCCCCTCCCTCCTTCTATCTCCTGGGGCTAAGATGTTCCTTAAAACACAAACCAAGACAAAAGTAAAAACAGGTGCCAGTTTTTTGCTTTTCCTTTTCCTACAGAAATCAATGTATCCCATTTCAAGATCTACAGTTTTATTCTTCACAATCATCCCTTATTT